ATGCATGTTACAAAGTAACCGTAGCGCAATGAACAGAACCACGTCTCGAGGGGAATTCTTGAAAGGCACAATGAACTCTTTCGCCAAATAGTGTCGCATTAAATGTGGAAACGGAATACTTGATAGGCGAGTAAATTATGAATCATGAAGAATGTTCAAACATCTTAATGGTAGTATCACCACCACTTCTACTGATGTCAGCAGTATCTGTAGAAATTCAACCAACCTCATAAAACTTATAGATAACCATGATCAGAGCACCCTATATGGGGCGAAGATATTTGAAGAACCGTTCTAGTTGACTAGACCATTTACTCTGTATGTTTAACAATCTGTCCAGTGAGTAGTTTCAATGAAGAATAATTTCAATTTTTACCCTTCACAAAATGTTGAACGGATAATTTAACACAACTACGCCAGGCTACAAAACTGTTTGACATGTGTGATAATTAAACACATCCTTCTGTATGCGTCGGCTGGTACAATCAAAAGATTCTTGGGGCAGCGTGACAGTTTACAGGGAGAAAAACAAACTATTTTGGCATCATTTCACAATTCAGCCAAAGGAATGAGGAAAAACTGAAATATTCATGCCTCTGACTGTCTTTAATCATGTTGCTATTATTCATTTGTTTCCAGTAACCTGTCTCAAACATCAGAAATTTCAGAAAGCAAAAGTTGCACCAAACAAATGCTCGTTCTTTGCCATATTCTGATGAGTGCATTTCATGTGTAGAAAACAAGTGGAGAACTTGCTGAGAACATCACCACCTCAGAATATTAAAACATTTTTCCATCTCAGGTGCTGAAACATGTTGCATCTGATTGAAACACCACACAATGAAAAAAATGGTGTGTTGAATTTCCCCAATTTTATTTTGTCAAGTGGTTGCATGCAATAAAATGGATCCAGATGCGTTTTTTTAAGTAGACAATAAATATACTTTTAAAATGCATCTAAATTCAGATGATTCTCTTGTGTTCAGCTATTTGACAAAATAAAATTGAGGAAATTCAACACACCATTTTTTTTCAGTGCATGAAACAATTTATATTAATTTGCGTGATTCCAATCAGTGATTACTGACAAGGTCATCTTTTAGTAATATTGTGAGTTCTCCATAGGCTTATGTAAATGTACGTACCAACTTTGATCATCTCAATTTCCACCTTTCAACATATTTTAATCAGCTTCTATGATGAAAGATGTAATTTGCTTTTTTTTTTCTTCAAGTGACACAATCCAATTAAACCTCAAAGGTCACTGACAGAAAATCAGCCAATTTTCTATACCACTTACCCTGTTGCAGGTCGTTAGGAGTTTGTGCCTATCCCTGCTGACTTTGGGCAAAAGATAATTTGCATCCTAGACTGGATGCTAATCAGTCTCAGGGTGCATAAGGCATGCAGTAACGTCACATTCACACTGTCATTGAGTGGGAAGTGAATCCCTGTTAGGTTTATACCAAACCGAATAATGTTTTAGGATTCCAAATATGCAGGTTCAGACAAAGTGCGATAACAAAAATGTTTATTCAAAAAAATTGCACTGACAAAGTATAAACTGAAATTGCTGGTCACAAGGAGCCAGGAGTAAACAATGGATGAAACAAAAAGCGCTTCAAAAGGCAAAGTTAGAGTATACGCATAACGGAAATTCAAATATCAAGTCAAGTCAAGTATCAAGTACAACTTTATTGTCAAATGTGCTGTAACATACAGCACAGATGAAATTTCCTCCCTCTTAAACAGACAACGGACAACAAGAGGAGCCGCTGCGGGTGCCCGCGCCACCATCAAAATATCCAATAACAGGAAAACAATCAAGAGCAACAGTAAAATAGCAAAATAGTTACAAATAAGAAGACGAAAGTGAATATGAATTGTATCGTGAGGTTTAGAAAATAACACTTGAAGCACAACAGCGAGAAAGATTAATCATCCGACAAGGAATAGCACAAGTCCTTAAATACCCACCAAAGCTTGATGGGGTAACAGGTGCGCCTGCTGGAGGGAAACGCGCTTCACTCCAGCTGGAGCTGGAACACAATCAAGACAGACATGACAATCCCTCTGTCTGAATGGAGTGAACCGCGCCGCTGTCTGTGACTGATAGAAATCAGTCACATTTAGTGATTCATTCAACAAATTAAGTTGAAATGTATATTGGCAATCTCAGCGTACAGTGCAAGACGAGTTTGGGACAAAAACTTTACAGGACAATGTGAAGAAAACAAGGACACTGAACCAACTTATTATTATAGTCAGAGAATACGTATTCATCTCCTTTCTTTTAAAATGACATGAAAATCATGTTGCATTACAACAGCTAACGACGGACATCGACAGATTTTGCTCAAATATCATGTTGGGGTTAGACCACATATACTTCGTAGTTGCATGTGCAAATCAAATTGCTGTGAATGGTTTGTTGTGGTTTATGGAACAATCTCATTCTGTATGATTGTAATGCTAGTCTGGCGTCATGCGTATTTTTGTGTGACCTGTTTTGTCATTTAAAGAAGATATTCTCAGAAGCCTTGCATTCCACTTTAAACAAGGAAAAGCAAGCTAGCCTCGTAGTACTTTCAGACTGCACAGGGACCACAGAGCAACACGGTGCACTTTGTTTAGCTCGCTGAGTATGGCTGTCCATTTGCCTCCTGCTTCGACACTGGCATTTGCTCGTACTTTCATAGGCACTTTTGTCTGGGAAACATCGCTGTTATCCACAGCGATGAATGCCATTATGCAATACGTTGTGACCTAACGTGTGTATTTGCACCTGATGAGTTACGACATCTACTGTTGTCACACTTTAGTACGTGAGAAATCGTGTGTGTGCGTGAGTGTGACTGTGCCTGTGTGTGTGTGAGTCAGAGGGAGGGAGAGAGGGGGAGAGAGGGAAAGAGAGACAGAGAGAGAGATCGGTGAGAGATGAAATAACTGCTTGGGCGAAGGAGGTGTGCTTGGTTTGGCAATAACATGAATGACAACATAGTTAGAAAATGATGATCCAGTTTCAATCTTAATGAGTTTCCTGCTGTTTAGATGATCCCAGCCAGTATATCTTGTAAAAAAATGATTGCAGATGACTGCAATTAGCATCTTATTCAATTTATAAATGGGACACATCTTTCTTTCATGTTGTCTCAACTACAAATACAGATTATAAATAAATACCTAAAATATGGCTGCCTCGTTGTGTTATGTGTACAGTGTTCCCTCCCTAATTTGCAGTTTGGTTTTTGTGGATGTAACCATGTATTGCATTATGTTATTGTTTTGGCGTGTTTTTTTTGCTATTTTTCTTCGTTAGACCAGTCAAAAGGGCAAATCTGGTTTACTTTGGCTTTGGTTACTTTGTTATTTTCCAAAGCTGTCTGTAAGCGAGCTGTGTCATTGTATTTTGCGATTTTTTTTTTTATTGCCATACAGAATGGAATCCATGTTCAAAAGGCCAGAGTTAAAAAAAAAAAATGCAATAAAATATGGAACCCCCACATTCTATGTGGAAATAATTTTTCAAGTTCACATTTCTTCACAGCTTCTGATAACAAACACAGAAACATCCCCAAACCTAAAAAACAGTGTCCCAAATCAGTAGTTTACTTTGCGTACCTCAGAGAGTTATCTCAATCCCACAACGAAAACGTCATTTTGGAGTACACTGCATCACGTGACACAAGTGCTAACCCACACCCCTTCCCCCCTTGTTTAAACTCAAAGGTGCACATCATTTAACAAAGCTTGTTAAGACCCTTTTATTAAAAATGTTAACTAATGCCGATGGATCATAAATGCCAAATGAAAAAATGTATCTCCTTCATCTGCATAATTATGCCCTCTACTTGGCAATTTAAAAAGCAGGTTTTTCTATTTATATTCCTCATGCAGTAAAAAGGCCAATGCGTCTAATTGCTAATTACCTTTTTATCACGGACGTTGTCTGTCTGCTCTGGGCCCAGAAATGTTTCATGAGAAAACGCCATTACTTCAAATGTCATCTGTGCAAGCCGCATCCAATCTACAGATGAGGCATGACAGAAAACCATTCCATATTTTATGAGACCATGAGTTCATTCAGAAGCTTTGAAACATCCCTTTAGACCCGTACGGCAACTAACACAGATGTGGAGAGCAAGCGTTTATTTTAGTGTGAATGCGACCTGCTGTGGCACTTTATATTTATGTCCACAGAATTTCACTTTAGGGTGCAAATCTGTCGGGTGCAGTCCCGCGGATGCTGCACAAGCTCGGGCCATGGGGAGAGCGCAAGAAGGCAACATGACTGAACCCAAGCATGCGCTGAGTGGTTGGGCTCGTGCGCAACACCGGCATCTACATGTGGAATTATTTTAGACAGGATGTAGAGATGAGAAGAATATGAAGTACTGGCGCATGAGGGGCAGTCTTCTCGGTGGGGCTCTGTCAACAACACAGACACACCGGTTTTTGTCTAAATGCGCACTTAGAATGCGTGTGCATAATCTGGTAGATGGCCAGGTATGATTGGCGTGTCCTCCAGGGAGGATGGGGCTGCAAGAAACCGATTGGCTGCGCTTGATAGTAGGGGAGTGGTTATAGAATATGATGGTCCGCTCCTGCCTTTTGCTTGTGCGGGTTTTTGGGACAGCGATCAAGCAGACGTGGTGTTTAGAGACATTGCGCATGCTGAGCGCGGAGCATCTGAGTTTGAGAGAGAAGGGACAAGAGAAAGGGGGGGCACCAGGGGGAGGCAAAAGAGAAAAGAGAACAGGAGCTCGTGAATCGAGAGGGAGGGAGCTTCAGGCAGAGAGACTGGACCAGCGTTCAAACACTGCAGTCTTTCTTTTGCTTCTGTGAAGAAACTGTCCCCCTTTCCACTGCCTGTCTCGCTGCTCAGCCATGACTCCGCTGGACGTCTTGTTCTCCATCCCCACCTAGAGAGGAGGAGACAAACGCTTTCGAGCGCGGGAGGGAGGGAACAGAAGACGGGACACTTTGCCTTCCAAGTGAGAGTCTGGAAATTCATTAAGCGTCGTCAGCACTGAGGGACACCTTGTGAGGGAGTCGAAGAAGACGACTTGATGCGCCGTTTGTGTGGGCAGAGAGCAAGCGAGAGGAGGAGTAACCGCTAGGCACTTTTCGGGTAGAATTGGCAAGTTAGGGCAGAGGTACAAGAGGAGGGCTGTAGATTAGAGAGTTCACTCCACAGCGATTTGTTTGCTCGTGTACATTATCCATTGTCGTGTGCTTGTTAATGTTCCATTCGCACCCACGCCCGCATCCTTCTCTTCTCACTGCATGTCAGCAAAATCACGTCTCACGCATGCTTGGTGTTGGGCTCTGAGACACAGCGTGAGCGCATGCTTGAGAACTTGCAGCGCGAACCCGATCAGCAACTTCTCATGAGAGCCCGTTGGACATTTCTGTATCATAACAGCTGGGCTTGACAAGACGGGGGAAGTCAAAGCTCTTCTATCATCTGCGTGATTAAAGTGATCCCGGATGAACCTGCTAACCATCTTATCTGCCAGGGCGCGACACCTGTGTTTGTGGGATTAGTTGGGAGGGAACAGGGATGGTCAGATGTGTGCGCGTGGATTAGGTCCTAAACACACAAGAATTTCACAGGTGTTGCGGCGGGATTATGCAAACTCTCTTGATGCATGCAGTGACATTACAGGCTTTAGGAATCAGGTGAATGGCAGAGTATTATCTCCAACAGATTAATTCTTATCAAGCTATGACGCTTGGGATATAATTTAATCAGCTGCTCCGGGATTTGAAAGTGTTTAGATCGACTTTTGAGGTAACCAAAGTATAGGTGAAAACACTTTTCAGCATTCAAGATCACCCCTCAATGACTTTGGCTCCCTCATTGTGAACTGCGCACAGTGCCGAGTGACGTAGTTGCTTCTAAGAACTTGTATTATGAGACGCTCAAGCACGGATGAGACGCCGTACCGGCGAAGTCCATCTCTGGACAGCAAGCCGGACACACCGCCGTTCACCTCTGGCTTCCATCGCTTCAGCGGAGAGTTTGAATACAAGCGGCCACCGTTTGCGTTTGGCTTCACCACCACAAAGGGGCCACAGACAACCAAGGGCCGCTGCGCTCAAGGAAAGAAGTACGTGGTGTTTTACCTGGACCTCTCCTTCATATTCCTCCTAGAACTGCGGCGGTGCAGGATGGCTGAAGGTTGTATGATGGCACTGCGATATGGGATGGTCTTCTTCAACCTCCTCTTCTGGGTAAGACAACATTTTGTTGACTGTGGCTGACTGACCTACTCTTTTACACCTTGCTTGACTCTGACACTGCTTTGGATTTCTTGTTTTTATCTTTGATTTAAGAGAGCTTGTGCTTTTTTGGGATGTGGTAATGATGTGAGAGGAGAGAGTGAGAGTGATGGAGATCATGGATTTCAATGTGTGCAAAGCTTGCTGTGTGGGTGATTCGAGCATTTACTTCTTACGATAGTAGATACTTAGTGCAAGCGTGTAGGCCGTCTTGTTTGCTGTATTAAGCTTTGGCTTACTTAGAGTGTGTTTTGTATGCACTTAATAATAGTGTTATTCTTGTATAGAAAACCCTGCGCTGTGCCTGCCTGCCGGTGCAAGTGTGCGCGTCAGCATAAAGATCTAAGTGAGTGTCAGTTTACGGTAGCTCGCTGATCGTATCTGTTAGCCGCGGAGCTCTCGGAGCTGTTTTGTCTGACTGTGTCACTGGCACTCCGATAACCCCGCAACAAATCACTTTCACTCACACTGTTAAACCTGTCATGTTCCTCCCCAGCGGATCAGATTTGAAGATCCTATTGTGTGTTTTAGCCACAACCGTCCTCGAAATAACTCATCTAACTTGTCACGTAGTTTGTAAAGGATTTTGGTCCCCATGGCTGCCTTGCTGGCACTGTTTTTTTGATTTGCCATATTGTTCTGTTCTTCGTGGTAATGGAATGAACTGAATCCTGAAATACAATCTAGTTGCCCAGATGCAATCTCCCTTGGGCATCGAGCAACCTCTTCACTCGCGGATCTTCTTTCTGCTATAAAACTCAGTGGAGGAGAGGTCACAATTTGTTATAGCGCGACTTTGTGCAATTGTGTGCACGTGTGTGTGTGTGTGTTGGCGCCGTGAGAAAAATATTGACCGCTTGACCACACTGAGCTACTGGCCTCTCGTCTGCAGAGAAGCCAATCGTGTTACAAAGCTCCGGGTAAGAACTGGTAAAGGCATTCACTACGGAGCCTGGCTTCTAATCTGAGTCATACAGGTTGCTGATGCCCAATGCTAAGGTTCACCCAAATCAAGCCTCATTCACCATTGGGATTTTATTAATTCAAAAGTGAACACATGTTGACTTCAATTTAACCTATATTGAAAAGTGTGATGTGGAATCTTTTGAGTTATAGATCATGTTAACAGTGGTTCAAATACAGAGAATTTCAAACTGACAAAAAGTCAGTGAAACGATTTCCACTTAAATGCATTTAACCTGACGCGGTTAAATTAAACATGCTCAGACCGATACAGTGCTTTTCTGAACACCCATGTTTAATCGCACATTGAAACCACAGAAGCTGCTGACGGTGTGTTTTGAATTATACTTCTAATATTTAAAAAAATGTAATACAAGGGACAAATATTACATACACACAAACACGGCAGACAGGAAAGACAGCAAAGATGTGGCAGTCGTCCCTAGATTTCATAAATGTAGACGTGTGAAGGGAAATATGAAGCAGGAGGGAAGGAACAGGCAAGTTAATCAAATATTAATCGAGACTATTTAGATGTGAATGTTATTTTGGTGAATAAGTGATCAAATCACATTAACAGTTCATTTATTTTTAAGTAGAATGGCAGAGTCCTGCCTGGCTCCACTGTCAAATGTTTCCTCTTCTGCTTTGTCATAGTTTCAAATTCAGTTCAAGCTAAGATAAGAAAACATTTGGATGGTCTATAATTACCATTTAAAAAAATGAATACTGACAACCTATCAACACCAATAATGCAGGCATGAATCAGTAAGTAATTGACCAATTGAAATGACTCAAATACAATTTCTAAGATGGGCGCCAACATCATGCTTTCTGGATTCAGCCTCAGTTCGGAATTAATTTGAATGTTTGTCCTGCAAACATAATCTGCGCAATTTCTATTGGCTGCCTGATTGCTTTTTTCACTGTCCAGCGAAGCTTAAAATGTGATGTATAAATGTATGGTATCAAATTAACGTCACAACAGGTGTCTTTGCAGGAGGCGTAGAGGCTCAAGTGTTAACAACACTTATTCAGTATGACCACATAGAGCAGAGTTGATAAACAGAACTGACAGTGGGAAGTGGGAAGATCAGAGGACAACAAAGGAAGCCTCTACAAAGTCAGACTCCATTATTTTCTCTATCCATGTGTTAGTCTTCTCACTAGTGCATGCTATCAGAGCTAGGCCTATCTACTCCCATATACGATTGGTGTTAAAGTTAACTGCTCTCAAGGCAAGCACTGGAGCCGGGACATTGTGTCAAGCTACGATTGAATGTTTTCATGACGTGGGTCAGACTTGCTGCGCTGAAGGCAAAAAGACTATAAGGAAATGGTTATGTTGACTGGAGAAGGCTGACAAACTTCTCTGCACCCACACACGAGCTGCAACTGTGCTCAGGTTTTGCTGCAGTAGAAAGAAAATGACTAATAGGAAGATGCACTACATTACAACTTTGAAGAGCCGCAGGGGATAGCTCAAATCATCTTCTGGGTTTAAATAATCTTTGGTGGGCTTTCTTTGGCTACTAAATACAGGCCAAAAATCGTTAATTTGAACATTTGAAATTGTCAGTGCTGGTGATTAACTGCATGATGTTCCGTTCAGGGTGTAGCTTGTCTCTCTCATCCTAAATCCGCATGAATTTCCTCCATCCACTAGAATTCTCAGAACCCTCATACTTCGAAGCTTTGCTTCAGAACGGCATTTTGTATATTGATCAATCAGTCTATCTCATCAATGGGGCAATTAAAAGGGCACGCAGAGTAGCAGTATGGATGCTTTCATGAAGAAACGTGAAAAAAAACATTCAGGCAAATGACCAAGTGCTTAAGAACAACTTTTACACCATATAGTTATCATGATCCTGTCATGTATGCTTTGTTTATCAGTCTCCAGCCTGAGAGTGGGCTTTCCCTCATGAGCTGCACGTGACACGAATCATCCTTGTTACTTAGCTGCCTTTAAAAGCCATGCCATGCCGACAACTGGCTGTCAGATTATTAAGCCTTGCTCACGACTCTGTCTCCAAGTGCTTTAATTTTCTAGACGCTCACAAGTTATGCCGTCAAGCTGAAGAAGGAGTTCTATCAGGCCTTTATGGCCTGTGGGACTCCAAGGCAGCTGATGTCTACCGGCTGGCCAAGCGATGTGCCGAGGCAAAAACTACGCATGTTGTCCTTGGAGCTAAATAGTACCTGTTGACAATTTTAAAAATTTTACTTTTTAGGGCAATGCACATTAATGAGGAAGCCATCCGTGCTTGCGGTATCTCTTTCGTCTTGTTCCTTCCCTTCTCCTCCTCCCCCTCCATGCATACCTGCTCACCGAGAGTAAGACAGAGGAAGAAAAGTGAATTGGAGGCAATTAACTCCAAAGATGCAGCTAGTTTACCCAACTATAAAAGCAGCCAATCATCTTGTGCCCTGGTCAGACATCCACTCAAAAAAGAAAAGATGAGCTCATTAGCAGTGACATCCAGTATTAGCGGTTATTGAAACCTTGACTTTTTAAAATCGTCAAATTAGTAAACAGCCATGCCATATAATGACATAATTAAATGGAGTTCAAAAGAATTAAATGGCTTTTGTCACACTGCATCAATTGAATAGCCAAAGTGCTGCTTTTTCTGGTGTGCTTGCCTGGTTCACTAAATGCCAGTGTGTTGCTTATTGTGAAGTGAGTTGACTTCACATACAACACTCTTATCCCAAGTCTGCACTGACAAGTCAAAACAAAAAAAAAAAAAAGACAATGACTCCAACACTCAAAAACAGCAGATTCTCATCGCAGTGTGTAAGTCAACATTTCCATTTCGCATCTTATGAAAACACATTGATAAGCAAAACTGAGTTTTCCTGATAATTGGCAATCCAAAAAGCTTTGGTGGGCTGGACACGCGTGTATTAATTAACATGGTGCAGTGCGCTTATGAAGTAGGGTTGGGTATCTTTCATATTTGAACTGGTTCGCTTTCGGTTCCCGGTATCGGGGAATCAATACTGGTACTTAACCGTACTGATTTTGGGTATCTTTCTGTGTTTGTAAATATTAATTTATTTAAATAATAAATAAACTCTAAAATGGTTTGAATTTAATATTTATTTTGTTCAAAATATTAATTTGGACAAATAACAAACAACATCGTGAATTTAAAACACATGAGCCAGAGGATGGAGTAAAAACAGAGATTTAAACATTTTACAAGTAGTCAAGTATGAATCATACAAACAATAAATGAAATATGAAAAATTACAAAGGGTGAAGCAAAAGTATTTTGCAATGAACTGCACAAGAAAACAGTACTACGAAAAACGAAGATAATTAATCATTGTTTTAGTGTTTATTTTTCTTTGTTCCTCGTGCAGCTGTTTTTCAAGAACACACATGCTACATTCAGACCAAACACGAGGTGAGCATTTCTGGATGTGCAATTCCATAAACAATCTACTCAGTTTGCGCTGTCAGGCGCGGATGCGTGCGGGGCAGCGCGGTTCACGCATTTAGAACGATGGGATGTGGCAACCAATCAGGAATGTATCTCGTCACACACAGCTTCCTGCACAGGTAGTTTCTGAGTGGAGATTTTGGAGCGATGAAGGAAAAAAAATATAATTGCAGTCTGTTGTCACATGGAGCTCTGCAACACAGCCAGCTCTCAGTACTTAACTACTTCACACACAGCAGCAGCAGCAGCACGAGCACAGACACACACAGCTTGGTGAAAGAAAAGTCATGTAGGATAATATCATTGTGGTGTTTGAGCACAAAGGGGTATACAACGTAGCCAGCATCTAATACCTGCCAGGGCCGAGCCAAAAAGGGAGCAGGCGTGGGGAATGGGGAGCGAGGAAGTGGCTGTTTCTGCTGAGTGGATTGACTTATTTAAGTGGAAGAACTGTGAACCAAGTAGCATTTAGCAGCAAAGTCACACAACCACCAACGCCCAGGTTCAAATATTTTTTTTTCTGTTGGAGGAGAAGGA